CCCCAAAACCCCAAAACCCCAAAACCCCATTTTTCAGAAAAATATTGCCATACTAATTTTTATTTAAATAAAATGGAGGAAAAATATCCGCCAAATTTGATGCAAAACTTACAAAACAACTAGAAAAAGTACCACAAATTCGATTTACCTTACCAAAACCCTAAAAATCCAAATTTTCACCCCTAACCTCCCCTCCCAAACTCCAACCCCTTCCACCCCTCTCAACCCCATCCACCCTCCACCCAAATTTCCCTTCCCCCACAAAAATCCCCAAAATCCACCAGTAAGCCACCCCTAAATTCCCTATTTCCTTCACAAATTTCTAAACTTTTCTAAATTCCTACTAAAGGCAGTTACCAACAGTGTAAATTTGTATGGGTTAAAGAGATGGATAGGTATGGTTTAGAGGATAGAGAGGATTTTGGTAAGGGTGGTATGGGGATAGACTCCTTGAGGTTGGGTGGGGTGATAAGGGTGTTTGGATGGAAAATTATAGGGATTATAAGGTGTTTTGAGGGATGTGTTATGAGCATATGGTCTTTGAGGAGAGATAATGTCTCTTTGAAGCACATAATTTTTCTTTAGGGTCTAGAAGATATGTCCTCCTTTTTAATTTGAAGGAAGTTTTTGATAAAACAGAGAGATAATTAATGTTTCTTGTTGCAATATCCAAATTTATCAGCATGTGGTATTGAATCTAATATTGATAGATTTTATACCTTATTCACCAAGAAGATTATGGTGCTTCATTCCTAGAAATAGGCTTTATTTCATTTTATCGGGTTTATTTTCTACATTAATTCTTATTCTGTCAAATAGTTTATCTCTTCATTTACCTAATGCTCTAATGTGTGTTTAAGATGGTTTATATTCTTTATAGGTAAAGCATCCAGATATACAAAATAAAAATTCTTTCAGGAGTGGCAATACCAAGAGCACAGGTCACTTTGAAGAGCAAATGGAAGAGCAACCGTGACTTAAGAATGAACACCAGGATTTCCTAGATTACGAGAATTGTGACCACAAAATTATAAGAGACGAGAAGTGTGATCTTGAGGAAAGACTTGAAGTTATGAAAAAGGCAGCATTTAAACTCCGTGGAGAAGATTTCTCTCATAAAATGGCTACTAATGAGCATTCATCTCCTAGAGATCATGGACATTCATTAGATTATGCAAACAAGCATCAGCAAGATAAACTACCGGATTCTCAACACAAATGTGGTAATGACCAACATGTCCAGAACATTCAAGCAGATGAAGTAATTTTCAACTAAATTTTAGTTTGTAGCTATCATCGAAACTAAGTGAGATGAAGAAATAAAAACAGAGAGTCTATGAGTGAAGAATAGCAATGAATTCAATAAAAGGAATTGCCTAAATTATAATTATGAAAAGACAACTGCTAAATATATAGAAAATAAGCAAGACCTTAGAAACTATGTAAGCATTTGCTTATCAATGTAGAATAATCAAGAAGAAAATATTTATAAAAGTGATGAGTTTTCTTATACAAAGCAGTCTGAATCTGAGAGAAGATGTTCTGGAAGAATCAAGCCTGCTCCAAGATCAATTTTAAACCAGAATCAAAAGGCCATCCCATCAGACCACCAAATATCACAAAATGTGTCAAATCCTGTTCCAAGAGTCCAAAGCACTGTCGAGCATATCAAAAACCAAGATAACATCCCTCTTCAACTGAACCCTCTTATTCAATCTCCCAAAATATCTAAACCTACTATAACAACAAACTTTATGGGGAATGAACTTCTTCTTCTTGAGCAGAAGATTGCAGGGCTGGAGCAAAAGCTATCAGGTAATTTCATCGAAATCTTCACAAAATTCTGACCAATTTTAGGCTGAAATACCCAGAAACGCTCAAACAGTCACAAATATACTCTTGATGTGCAGCCTCTGACTACACATCAAGAGTATTCTAGATTTGAGGTTAATTTGGAGAAATTCGAAGGAGATATTACTCAGGGAAAATCTCAAAATAACTCTGTTACCAAGTTCAATTTTGGTAAGTCAAACTCCAAGAAAAAAATTGACAAAGAAAGAAATCTTGCAAGAAAAACAAAGAGCGATAAGAAGTTCACTTCAAGGAGGCCTGAAAGCTCAGGGATAAAGGTTTCAAGAAATAAAGTACACAAAAATTACAGTACTAATCCTTCAAAGAAGAATTTAGAAGGATGTTCAAAAAGACTAAAACAAATGCAGACATTTGAAAAATCTGCTTCTCGGATTTTGAAGAGTAAATCTAAGGTTGATGATCTCAGAGAAGTAAAAAGCACAAGGAGTTTTAAGAAAATCACAAATTCATCAACAAAGAACCCTAGAAAATCCAATACCACTGCTGTGGTACCTCATGAGTGTAAAATTTTTGTGAAAAATGAATTGTTCCCAATGGAACAGCTCGCAAGACATCCAAATGCTTTACTAATTTTATTCAGAAATTTAAAGGTCTATCACTCAAAAGCATTGTTAGCACCTTCACATAACAAAGTTGTTCAGATGGTTTACTTTATATTCTGACCTTACATAATCTGTATATGTTTGATCATGAAGCATTTAGTGGCACAGTCCAAGATGCATAATTTAACGGAGAGGAAAAACTCCAAAGTCTATATGAGTAAAGAAAAACCTGACAAAGGACTTAAAGCTGATGTTATGTTACTAGAGTTAAAATAACCAAGAAATTCAAGAAGAACAGGCCAAAAATTCTGAACTTAGAAGCCATATTGATGCTTTGAAGAAAAGAATTTACTCTAAAACAGAATTTGAAGGCCAATCGAAAGTTGTTAAGGAAGCATCTGAGATGATAGATCAGCTCAAGGTACTCTTCTTTGTAATTTTTAGGCAAAAATACCAACACTGTTAGGTAATAAATATAAGAAAGAGCATAAAGAAATCTCAACAAGTTTGAGCTCTGTTATTAAAAAGCTTAAGCCTAAAGGAAAGAAGCTCATTAGCAAGCCTAAATCTTCCAAGAAGTTGAGTCAGCAAGATAACTGAGAGAATTCTTCCCTTCTAATGAACCAGATCAGAGAAGCAGATGTAGATACTTCAGTAACAGATCAAACATACAGCGTGCATCCTATTATGGAAGAAACCATTAAGGTCAGCATAAAGAAGAAAAAGACAGCCAGACCGAAGAAAGAGAGCAAACCCTCAAGAAGGCACATCAGGTAGATACCAATGACTGCTTGGGGAACCTTCTTGTTGATAAAACAGCCAAAGCATGATAAAAGTTATAACAATTTATCAGTCTGGAGATGGGGTTTTGGGGTTTTGGGGTTTTGGGGTTTTGGGG